AATTATCACCTAGTTCATTAATTTTGTTAAAAATTTTGTGTTATAAAAAAGTAGTTGTAGTTATTGTGCAATAGATATGTTTGTAATAATTTTCATACATAAAGTTAATTGTAACGGTTTGTATTTGTCATTTTTTAACTTTAAGTTAATGTTGTTTACCTTTCGAATAAAAAAAAAAATAGATAAGAGCCTTGTATTCTCATCTTCCAGATTTTACGCATGGCGACTTTCTAATAATTTCACAAGTATTAAATTTGTTTTTGGGGAGGACAGGAGGAAATTACAGAATGAATGAAAACAATTAAATATTGTTATAATAATTCTCTTAAAGAAAGCACATAAGAATACCTAAAAGATTTTCTCCTGTCTAAAAAAATTTAATTTTTATTTCTTCACTCTTTAAATGGTTTTTTTTATAACCGTCATTGAACAGCCGACCCAATTGATTGAGGGTTTACGACTACCGATGTTTATCCCTTAGCCTTTTAATTTTGAATCCAATCCAGAAGACAAGGGAACTCCTGGTTCAAGTATTGGGAGAAATTTGCCATCGTAGAGGACTTATTGATTTGACTTTCCCCTCAGCAGAGGATCAAAATTGTGATGGCATGTCTTCGGATCATCCTCAGGGATGTTTCCCAGACCGTCGCCAATAGCCCACTGTGCTGCTCTAGTACGACGTAAATTAACAACAACAATATTGATTTGACTTGCCTATATTACATAGAGGAAAACCTCTCGTGGTTAGGCTGACGGCAAGAGGGCTCTAACTCGTGATCCGTCTACCACTGAGAATATTTTACAGCGGCCAGGTGCGGAATTTGAATCGACCAGCCATTGCTGGGATTCAAACCCGATTTACCTCAGTGGGAGGGGAGCGCTCTGTCCTCTGAGCCATCCTGGCTCTTTTTAAATGGTTGATAAAAATTTTCTTTATTTGTCTGAAATCTAAGAATTAAAAAAAAAAAAATTTTGTGAAATTAGTTTATACTTCGTCTCTTTTGGTATGACACCCTTGTTATGCATAAAGATTACTACTTTGAAGTCAAATTATTTGAACTGATATTGAGGACAAAAAAAAAATCCTTTTGATTGCAATCGAGGCCGACTCTTATTTTTCCATTTGTTTCAAATTTATTGAATATTATAAATGCAAGAATGTATATTTAAGTCGAAAGATGTTGGAAAATGGGTGTAAGACTAAGGTGAAAAATGAAAGGAAATTTTTAGCCAATCTACATGTTTTGTATTTTAACTGCGTAATTTAATAATCAATTTTTTAATTTCGTCATAAATTTTTTTATTGATACAAAAATAACTATCAGTTTAACATTTCTGAAAAATAAAACTAAGATAATCAATTTTTACCCCCCCCCCCCNTTTTCCCCCCCCCCCCCCCCCAGAATGATTTTCTGGGTGAGCCACTGAGCGCAACCACCACTGATTTGCACTTCATGAATATATTATTGACGATCGAGATGGGCTGCAGGTGTCGTAGAGCAGAACTCTACCTTCGCATTCTTTCCCCATTAGCGTGTGGGGAGTTCTAGAGGAAGGAAGTACGTTAGTTTCTTTCTTGATTTTCATATAGAATAAAATCTTTTAAGTTGGAAAACTATATGGAACTGAAAACTGCATTAAACATAATTCTAAAGAAAAGCATCATGGAAATTTAAAAAAATATTTTATTAAATAAAAAGGAAAATGTTGTACATTCCTATACAACAGAAAAGAGGAAGGGAGAAGGGCCTGTAAGAGACTGGCCACTAGATGGCACACTAACTTTCTTTTAGGTTTCTGTTTGTTTCCAAAGAGAGTGGAGTCGAGATTATAAAAATGATGATGGCGGTATTTTGATAAATGTCTTGGTTAAATTTTTTTTGTTATGTGTCGTTATTTATGTCTGTTTTGTGCATCTCTAACTTGTGAATAAATAATTTAAGATGCAAGCTACTAGTCTTTTCTGTGAAAGTTTAAAAGTCTTTACAGACTAAAAATAAATTGGTGGCAGCGGTGGGATGAACAAATAGACAGTGCCTTCTTAATGAAACAACTTAGGGGTAAGTACTTTTTCTATCTGAAAAGTGCCTTAGTATTTTAAAACTCAATTTTTGTATTAAAATCTGGGTAATTTAAATACTGTCATATAAATCTAAATTCACATTTNCTTGATGGACACAAAAAATTTCTTATACAAACTGATCATAATCCCTTAGTGTGGCTGGAAAAAAACACTGGAACAAATCCTAGACTTTTAAGATGGGCGTTAATTCTGCAATCATTTAGTTATGAGATTGTACATCGTAAGGGAAAACAACATCAGAATGCTGATAGTTTGAGTCGAATCCCTTAAAATCAATACCATCATATACCATCATAAAATATCCCAGATATAATGAAAAAAAAAAATTTCTTTGTCGTTCTTAAATTTCCAGTATTTGTATAAATGTTTCAATATTTTGTATATTATGTGCGTTTAAATTTTTTCCTGATCTAGAATAGTAGGGATAGGTAAAGTGCTTTGCAAAAATTTTAAGGTGCTAATTTTTCAGATAGAACTGGTACTGTATTTATTTTGCAATACTGCAATTGTTTATTTTTCAATACTGTAATTGTTTATTTTTCATAACTATATTTGTTTATATTTCAATACTATATTTGTTTATTTTTCAATCAAAGAACTTATCTTAGGAAAAATATAAACTTTTCCCTTCGAGAAAAGTTTTTTTCATGAGGGGAGGAAGACTGTAAGAAACTGGCCACTAGATGGCACACTAACTTTCTTTTAGGTTTCTGTTTGTTTCCAAAGAGAGTGGAGTCGAGATTATAAAAATGATGATGGCGGTATTTTGATAAATGTCTTGGTTAAATTTTTTTTGTTATGTGTCGTTATTTATGTCTATTTTGTGCATCTCTAACTTGTGAATAAATAATTTAAGATGCAAGCTACTAGTCTTTTCTGTGAAAGTTTAAAAGTCTTTACAGGCCAAAGGTATGAAACCGGTCTCTCCCCAGATGGTGTATTCGAGCACTGCGATCGCCAACTGTAAGATCAGCAAAATGGACTTATTGAGTACGATTTCACCTATCCGTTTAAAAAATAATGTACTTCTTCTGTGTATTATTTTTTTAAATCATGAAAAGGTGATACCCTAGCCAAGTTACGCTTGAAGCATTGAAGTCTTAAATTCGGAGCAATGCTCCCAAAAGCTGCTGTGGACAAAGGGAAATCGTGAAATGGTGCGTCCGTTTAGGCTGAGCAATTACCCATCGATTTCCGCTCTTAATCTATGTGTCATTTTAGAAGCCTCAAAGCAGCGAATTCATGTATGATTTCCACCCCTCTGATTTGCGCTTAAAACACTAATGGCATAATTTCAGTGCAATGCTACAGAAAGCAGCAGGAGCCAAAGTGGAACTGCAAAATTGTCTGGCCTCCACTGGTGACTAGTTAGATTGAAAGACTTTTTATTTGAATCATAAATCAATGATTGGGGAAATCTTTAAGCCTTGCTAATGAAGGAAAAATACCTTTCAGTGTAAACAATTATATCCTACAGCTTATATGCGAGAATTGAATAGTGATGCAGTATTTCAATTGTATCTATTTCATGATTGAACGATGGAATATTTCCGTATTGTGATTTGTCGCGCCAACTACAGTCACCATGGGCCAAATAGATTTTAAACTTGCAATTTAAAAAAAAAAAAAAAAAAAACATATAGAGGGGTGGCCTTTAGTTATACCCTTCAAGAAGGTTCTGTGTTTGTTTATTTCCTTGAGGGCCATTGCCCTTGAGAAACAAAAATCGTCAAGACTAATTGATTATTTCGGTGGATATCACAATACGGAAAAATTTCTTTGTACTATACTAATCGGGGGTAAGATGCACTAAGCAAGCTTTTATTTCTCTTGAGGGTCATTTTCATTGCATGTTAAAAATGCGTGGAGGGGAACAGGAACCTGACTGGCAAGTTTTTTGATAATAAATATATGTTGTAGTATATTCTCGTCGATCTTCAGAACGGGTTATCGGCGACGGTCTGGGAAACATACCTGATGGTGACATACTATCACCATCCGAAGACATACTATCACAATTTCGATTCTCATCTGAAGGGATGGCTCTTCCACCTCAGTAACCCGATGACCTGCACGTGAAGTCGATCACTTTACAGTAGAATTTTTAATGAAGGTCCATACCGTTCACCCTCGGTTTTTCCGCAGGTTGATCTAAGTGGCTGATCACCCACTGGCTCACTGATTGCTGCTAACTATGCTTGACTTCATGGATCTACAGGGAATCATATATTTTTGATTAGACTTCAGTGGGATCACTAGTAAATATGTTTCATCAATAAGGTTTTCATTCATGTGCAAATTTTTTGTTCATAATAAAAACTACCCCTAAATTTTTATGACGTCATTTACAATTAACTGATTTAAGTAAATTTGTTTTAACTGTAACTTTAAAATTGACCAAACTCGTTTCATTTCACAACATAAATATTTATAAAAAACAAGTTGAGGAGTGAAGTGCGATGTCGATTGGGAAGAGATTTGAATTTGCTTATTAGTTATCTTAATAATAAAATATAATATGAAATAAATCAATGATGGAGCCTGATGCTAGCACTCCTTTACTAAGCACTGACGAATTTGCTAATGAAGNCTGCGGTCAGTGTGCGGGTGGGTGACCACATGAATCAGTCTGCGTAGGGACCGAGGGTGTGCGGTATTGGTCCTCGTTAAACTGTGCTACCGTAAAGTGCTCGACTTCGCGCGCAGGTCGTCGGGCTACCGAAGCGGGGGTGCCATCTCCTCTGCAGAGGATCAAAATTGTGATGGCATGTCATCCTCCGGAATGTTTCCCAGACCGTCGCCAATAGGCCATTGTGCAGCTTTAGTGCAACGTAAATTAACAACAACAACCTAAATTTTCATGACGTCATTTACAATTGACTGATTTAAGTAAATTTGTTTTAACTGTAACTTTAAAATTGACCAAACTCGTTTCATTTCACAATATAAATATTTATAAAAAACAACTTGAGGAGTGAAGTGCGATGTCGATTGGGAAGAGATTTGAATTTGCTTATTAGTTATCTTAATAATAAAATATAATATGAAATAAATCAATGATGGAACCTGATGCTAGCACTCCTTTACTAAGCACTGACGAATTTGCTAATGAAGCTAGCGATTGTGAATCTGACACTTCAAGCAGAGCTCGTCGTGCTAGGTACTTTTTCTACCTTAAATTGCCGATAATTCTCTTTTTGTTTAACTCTGGATGAAATAATGTATTGGCAGAAAACTGACAATAAACCGTACCTATATTCTAATAAATTATTGCAAAAAAGTATTAATTTTACTAAAATGATTTAATGAGTTATTATTTGTTGATCTTTCATTAATGATAAAATCTGTGGTATGGGCACACATTTTGTTTCATATTTGATTAAATTATTATAAATATGACCACTGCATAGAAAAATTTTGCAAAGATTTTAGGGTGGACACTGTTACAGAAATCTTCTTGTAAAATGTATTTATAAAAGAGAAGTAAATATTATTAACACTTTAGATATTCATTCATTGACAAAGCTGTTGAAAGCCTATTTCTACAGTACCTATATAAAATTTTTTTGGGTAATTATATGAGGTTTCTTTATTAACATATTGGGTACCTATTGCCACAATCCGAATAATACCTATTACCATATTCAATAACGCATCACCAAAGGCAATTATTTTTCAATAATGTTCATCAATGCATAAAAACAATGTGAGATTCTGGTTTATACCGGTAGAAATAATAAACAATCAAATACTACAATGTTGCAATTATTGATGGTAACGTTATTCATCGAATGTGAAAATATTGTTATTATTCATAACTATAATTTTAAGATCATCTTAAAGCAATAATGTCGTAAATATTATGCGCGATAATAATTATCGAATACAATACTGTGAGTGAAGATAAATTTTATTTAAGTAACAAAAATATTGACCTATGTTAATATAAAATAAACTAGATTAGAAAAGTATGTTAGATTGTTAAAAATTGATTATTTTGCCAACGCAGTAGGAAATTAAAATTTGACATTTATTGCTTATGGGGATCTATGTTAGTTTTGGAAACAACTATAAAAGCTTCCTATATGGTCCCTATATCTGATCAATTATAAATATTGTTGAGTATGATTTATAACTACCATCTCAATGTATTTATTAAAAAAATGCCCCATGATTGAAAATAATTGTAATATTATCCTACAATAATTTTTGTATATGATGCATAGTGTTAAGTAAATGTTTTAGTAACAAAATAATGAAAATATATTTTGTTCACTTATCGTATTAAGTTTAAAAAAAAAAAAATTGATTGTCTCTTTAAATTACTTCTGTTTATACAGGAAAAAAATTCAATTTAATTGTTTTATTTATTTAGATTACCATTTCATTATCCTCAAGTACATAAGAAACGTGTACGTCGAGAAGCTGGCTCAGTTAGCATTGCAACTTATCAACGTTATCGATATTATACTAAATTAGCAGATCCATCCATCGACACATTAGTAAGTTTCATAAAATTTTTTTATTAATTTAAATTGTTTTTTTTATTATTTATTTAATTTTGTAGCTAATTTCTGTTACATTCAGGAATTACGTTTGTAATGGTATTCTTTCGTTACTTATTCCATTAGTTTATAAGGTTCCATAAGCCAATTGGTATAATTGTCAGAGAGCTGACCTCATGTCAGAAAGGTCCCAGGTTCGAAGAAGGCATGGGATATTCTTTCTGTCTCTTCTCTGTGATATTTGTTCTTCTTAATGAGGGAGCAACGATAGCCCACCGAATTTGGTGCCCCTGAAGAAGTGGCCTACAAATATGCTCTTTTGATACCCAAATGATGAATTTTTGGTAACCATTTTATACTATTTTATTTGTGTGTATTTCAAAAAGTAATTTTCACTCATTATCAAAGAAAAAAAAAGGAAAAATTTGTCGTTTATAAATAATAATTAAAGGCATGCTAAGAGACAATCCCTGTGCATAAATTTTTTTTCTCAAAAAAAAAAAAAGTCAACTAAAAAAATAATTTTTGATAAATACGCTTAAAAGATTTTTCTATAATTAGTACTGAAAATTATTAGAAAATGAGCATTTGAAAGCACTTTTTTTATTAAAAAAAAGAAAACTTTAAATGTTCATTTCCTCAAGATTTTCATTTTAAATTATAGAAAACAGCTTTCTTTATCAATTAATCATTTTTCGCTTGTTTACTTTTTCGAAAAAAAAAATATTCACAGAAATTGCCTTTTAGAATGCCTTCAATTATTTTTATAAACTACAAATTTTTCTTATTTTGATAATGAGAGAGAATTATTATACTCACACACATAAAATAGTATGAGAGGATAATTTAAAAATTTTTGAATACAAAATTCAGTTATTACGTAATACATTACAAATTTTGATAAATATTTACGATAGTAATTGATTGCCCTGTATTGTAACATCATCATTATAGTAGAACTGTTTAATTCAATGTTTTCTAGAGTATTCCTGATCATGTGGTGCCATCAAACTTCTTTTTTCCATTTGCACTTCTCATCAAACCCACCGGAAAACAAGGTAGTCTCATTACAATGTAAGTAATCCAAGATTTATTCTTTATTTATTGATAGATAACAGCGCATGAAAGGGAATGAGACTTAAATATTGATGTAAAATTAATGATAAATACTGGTGCAATTGTTGAGAATTTCCAAATTCTATTACTTTTATTTATTTATTTATTTTATTATTACTGTCAAACCCCGCTATAGTGAACCTTCAAGGGACTGAAATTTCTGTTCACTATAACCGGGAGTTCACTATATCCGTTACGCAGGCAATTTCACTAATGGTTCCCAAACTCCTCCCTTTTATTACATTATATTCATATAAATGACTGAAAAATATTATGTAGTAGCAAAAAATGTGTTATTTTTCATCACTCTTCGTCTTGCGTACAAATAAAAATTAGTAATCTTTAGCTGATGAGCAATCCTCAACATCAGATATGGAAACACTTCCCGACTCTCAGATAATTTTTCCTGAATTTCTGTTATTCCGCTTTTTAAACCTGTCTAACCTGCCATTCGAGCACATAAAAGTAGTTTCTATAGATGGTTTTAAAAATCGGTATATGTATTTATTTTGAAGTAGAAATTTCAAAATTATTACAAAGAAAATGGGGGGGGGGAATCAGTCGAAGACAGAAAAAAGTTCATTATATCCAACTTCCTCACTTTTTTGGTTCACTATATCCACTAAAAATAACATTATACGTGTATAGCAAGGCACAAGACCGAGCATTTCGTTCACTATATCCGGGAGTTCACTATAAGCCGTGTTCACTATAGCGGGGTTTGACTGTATTATTATTTATTTTTTTTATGTTTACCATTAACAGAAATATCGTTATTCAGTAAATGGTGATAAATTGTTGCAAATAGTGTTTCAATCGTTTTATTTTTCACTGAATATTTTATTTACTAAAATTTATGATAAACTGTTAATATGAATAATTTCTTAAAAATTTTGTGTACTTATTGCATATTTCTTCACAAAATATAAGTCTATGTTAACTGCATTACTATTTTAATCTAAAAATTAAAGTAAGACAATTTATCATTTTCTCATAAACTTTAGCAATCTATAATAGCATAATTTAGTCTGTCTGATCGAATGTCTATATATTTTATGTAAGTCATTTTAAGATTTTTGCTAAATTTTCAACCTAAAAAAATAAAAATTAATTTTCTTTATTATTCATTTCTTATTACTAATTCTTTGTTTAAAAAATTATATATATAATTTATTTTATGTTTAAAAACATGATATTTTAATTTTTTATTGAGGGTTGTCATGATTTAAATAACTTATTTTTTATTTCCTTTATTTGTTGTATTTATTTATTTTGCATTAATATTGATTTTTACCAACCTTGTTTTTATAGAGTCAGGTGGGGATGAAGTAGATGCATGGGGGGAATATGGGCATATGTTAAAAAAGATCTAGTTTCTCCTTTTAAATTGAGGTAATTCGTTTAATATTTTTAGAGCCTAGGATTGGGGCAAGCAATTTTATTTTAGTTTTAGAAACTGATTAAAAAGTTCAATGTTTACAAACTATCTGATCACTTTTTGCCGAGGAAATTTTTTCCAATATCATTAAAAACCGACAAAACTATTAATTTTAGTTAAAACTGGTAGATTATTTAAAGGGAAGAAATTACCAAAATAATGTAATGGTACAACTTAGCAAGCATATTTAAATATATAGATGAGTTTTCACACAAGTTTTTGCCTTCATATGGCAGTTAATTCATGGAAAACAAAGCAATTTCCTTAATAACTAAATTTAATAAAAATAGATGTCTTCTATAAATAGCAAAAACACTTTAAATTACCAAAAATAAGCAATAATTGTTTCACTCTATACTATATTTCAGGTAAATGAAAAACTATAAAACTTTTCTTGTTATTTGATGAAATTGTGTAGTGCTCAGTAACATATACTGCATTGAAGTGAAACCTAATTTTTACAGCCGTGAACATTTAACTCTTTAATCTAAAATGAAGGAGAAAAAAAATTTTTTTTAAGCACTTATTCTTTTAAATCTAATCAAGATATATTTATTTAAGAGCATTTTTATTTCTAAAACAATATTATGTTTTTTGATGAAATATGTACTAATTTTAAAACTGAGTCCATTTTACCCCACTCTGTTGTAAAATTGGTATATCAAAACACATTATTTTGAATGCATTATTGTACAAAAACAAACAAACAAAATTAATAAGTTATGCTTCATATTTATTCTACATGAATCCAATGTTACTGTGAATGACCAAAATCAAGAGAATGTCGACTTTCCTCAATGAATGTCAACAATCACGTAGTATCGTTGGTGAATGTCCGAAATATTTGTTATATCCGATGATTTTATATTAATTTATTCGTTGATTTAATCATTATATTTATTTGATATTTTAATATCTGCTGAGGATAGATTAGGAGAAACATTAGTGTAGGGTATACCAGGCAGATATATACGGGGCAGTGGCATTTAACTGGACCAAGTATATATTTCTCTCATTTATCAAAGCAACTATGTGATTGTCAACATTCACCAGTGGAAGTCAACAACCTCAAATTTCGGTCATTCACAGTAACATTTATAAAATGCTTCAAAACTTTTGATAAAATAAATTTAATAGTTTGATTTTAAAGCCTTCTTTTAAAAAAGCTCGATAGATAAATACCCACTCCACCTCGCCTGACCCTATCATTTGAACTTAAATATTGATTAAGATAAGACTAGATGTCATTGTCTTAGCATATTTGCATAGTATTGTAATATTAAAGTATTTCAGCTTTGTTCTGATAATATTGTTTTATGCTACAGATTTTCAATTTGGAATACAATGATGGGATCTTCTTTATTAAGCATGCCTTGGGCTATTCAACAGGTGATTTCCTTATTTTTTGTAACTATTTATCTCTTCCATTTTCATAGAAATTTAAACACCTGAATGCTTTTCATTCCACCTACTTTGATAATCTGTACAAAGACACTTATATCTGATGCTGAGTAAGTTCTGAGATAAAAATACATTTTTTTTTTTTAAAGAATTATCCAATCTGTTGCCCTAAATTTCTGGTTTCATGTTTGTGATAACAATTTTAGATAAATTGTTCAGATCAGATAAAGTGTTGATTATCCTTGACATCTTTATCTTGTTTAAAGTTTTGGTTTGTTATCTTACTTGTTATCTGTTATTTTTGTTCTAGACATTTTTGGTGATGTAATTTTAAATCACTCATTTTATTACTTCAGAGGAAAGATATTTGTTTCTGGGAAATAAAATATACAGTAACTTTTGATTATTAATTCTTTCTTCTTTTTTCTTCTTTTAATAAAAAAAAGGGATTTTTTTTAAAATTTTTTTTTTTTACATCTTTTATTAAATTAACCTCCAATTTTTGCTACTCAAGACAAAATTGTACTTAATTTTCTCTTCAAAGCTTTTTTTCTTTCTATTTGACTACACAGTTCAATTACCTTTTTTGAAATAATATTTTTTGAACAAATATTATTTGAACAAATTTTGTCTGCAATTTTTAACTGAATGAAATATTTAAAATATATAAATATTAAATACTCAAAAAAATTTTAAGCAACTATGTATAGTATGATTAGAAACTAAATTTTATTTTAAACATTTCCTTAAGTAGTTTTGTTGTTAAAAAATAATTTTATAAGTGCTTTTAGTAGTAATTTTAATGAAAGTAGTCTTTTAAAATATGTGCTTATTTTAGTACTTTTACAATAATTTGATGAAATCAGCTTATGTCCACATATATATAATATTCTATACTACTGAAAAAGAATAAGTAGAAACTTTTCATTGTATTTCTTGCTTGTTTGTGAGCAATTTTCTACTTAGATTATTTCTTCCAAGATCTTTATTATGAGGAGGTAATTATGCAAAATAAGCAAAAGTACACATTTATGTGCTAGCTAATTTCAAATAAGTGCTATTATTTTTAAACTATGTACCATTTTAAATAGAGACCTATAATCATAAAAAACTTCTCAAGTTTGTTGGATTTACAATTTTTTCAACAGAGACAACAGTGCAATTGGTATGTGACAAAGAATATAAACCTGCTATTTTTCTTATGCAACCAGGTTTCTTATGTAATGCAAGCATTGAATAAATAAATAAAATTGAAAACCTTTTAAACATCCATTTTTAGTATAATTTCAGTGTCAACAGCACAAAAATAAATTGTAAAGTTCTTCCTTCATTTTTTTTTACTACTACACTGTATTAAATATTTTCTAGATTACAGTGTCTTGCCTAATTAGAATGAAATGCCATATATATATATAACTAACTAACTCAGTGGCGCGACAGCCCATTAAGAGGGCCAAGGCCGACTGTGCCCATCTCAGTTTTCTTGACCTTGGGCTCTGGGGTGCAGGAGCATATGTTCCGGTATAGTTTTTTTTAAGTAGCGGA